GGTGCATTTAAGCACCAATAGATCCACATGTTTTACACTATCTTTGGGTGGTTCTGTGGTGAATTCCAGCTCCACCATTTCTGAGGCATCTCATACCCACAGAGCAGTGGCAGCTGGTTCGAACCAGTGAGAGCAGTGAAGCAGTTCATAATCCTTCCTGTTTTTCTCCCTTTCCCAAAGTAGACTTTGACAGCCTCCAGTTTGAAGCCTCTTTTGGTCGTCTCTGGAATTTACTTTGGGATGACTTCTCTGTAGCTGAAGATATAAAATGCATGCAGTCTTTTCTGATTAGTCATTTACTTTTTTTGGTCTTAAAACGAGGATTTTATTCAGTCCAGTCTGGAATCATCTGCCTACTGCTGCCACCTTGTGGAGACTCGTTCACATTACGTGTTAAAGGACTTTTTGCTTCTTCCTCTTGCTCTGTTTCTGTCGCTCAGTCTCTGGAAACCGCAGACGGACGGGTTTTCGGCTATGAAAAACTTTGCATCTGCAGCGGTGGCAGACCGAAGCTCCTCACCCAGGACAACCCGTATGTGCTGGGGATACGGGACACGGACAGCGTCCAGGTAACGCCACAGCCTCGGGATCTAGGCCCCAACAAACCCACGTGTTTTACATTATCTTAGGTGATTGTATGGTGCATTTAAGAACATACAAACCCACATGTTTACATTATCTTAGGTGCTTGTATGGTGCATTTAAGAACATACAAACCCCCATTTTTAACACTATGTTTGCTGTTTGTATGGTGCATTTAAGCACCAATAAATACACGTTTTACACTCGCTTAGGTGCTTGTATGACACATTTAAGCACCAATGAATAGACATTTTTTACATTATCTTAAGTCCTTGTATGGTGCATTTAAGAACCAACAAACCCACACGTTTTACGTGTAAGACGTGTGGGTTTGTCGCCCAGTTATGACCCACAGCCTCATTATTTAAGAACCAATGAACCCACATGTTTTACATTATCCTAGGTGATTGGATGGTGCATTTAAGAACATACAAACCCACATGTTTACACTATGTTTG